CATTGTCAGACCGCTCCCCCGCCAACCCCTCCACGTAACTCTTCACGCCGGAAGGATGCATCTCTAACGATGATAGCCACCTCACAACATCGCGTCCCCTACGACCCGCCTCGTTTAGCAGAGCCTCCTCTGACGACGTCGCACGGTGTCCCGGACCGCTTCGCTGAACGCACGACGGGTCCCGCGCGAATATGGGAAGGGTGGTGTCTTGATTGGAGCCTGCTGACGGGGTCTTCGCGAGAGTTTCGCCGTCTGCTCTCGCTGATAACAGGCTCCCAGCCGCGGTCAAGCCCGTGTCGCCCACGCTCTCTCCCGGTTGCTCGCGGTGGTGCTCTACGCATCGTCGCAACGCCAGCACCCACAGCGATACGACTGCACAACCTGCGCGTGTTGACGTCGTAGCGCCGCCCTCCGCGGGTTCATTGCGACTGTTCTCGGTGGAAGACACAAGCGGTGGCACTCCCGCACCCGCCACACCCTGCGAGGACGACGCCACCGCCAGCGACTGCGGGGCGCGGGGCGAGGCAGCAGAAGAGGTGCCGAACGCGCCAACGATGTTCTCTACGACGCGCTGAAGAAAATCATCACGAGGGGATGCCCTCCCAACGTCTACCGAAGCAGCAGGCAAGGGCACAGCAGTGGCACTCGCCGTCAGCAGAGAGGCGCCCATAGCGGAGGTGTTGCTGTGCGCGGACCTCAAGCGCGCACCAAGCCGCCGTGGATGTTCGAGGGAAAAGTGTCGCAGTTGCTGCCGGATGAGTGCCTGCACAGTCGTCCGTGGGGCGGCATCGTTCAAGGACCGGGACACCAGCAGCGGCGCACGCCCCTGTACTACCTCGCGAACCTGCGGAAGCACGTCTGGTGCATCAGCAGCATTCGCCGTGTGACCAGCAGCATATTCGTCTCGGCGCGCGTTCTCATCGCACCCGTGACGGCCACCATCCAAGCCTGCTTCGAGCGGCGACAAGCTGCGGCTACCAGACGACGGTGCCGAAGGAGATGAATGCGGAGCAGAACCCTCGAAGTTGTCGGCTCCACTGGTGTTCACCGAGTCGGACACGATCTCGCGTTCCAGCGCAGCGTTCACCAAGGCTCTTACGAGGGCGTCGTCCGCCTGCAAATACTGCGTCTTCAAAGTCTCTTCTTTCTCGGAGGGAGCGGCTGCAGTTTGCAAAGCGGAGCGCTCGAGGCTGTCCAACTCCGTCCACGCACTAAAGGCCGCGCTCACTTTCTCCGCCGCTGAGGAAGTAAAGCCATCGAGTTCCTCCTGCAGCTTCGCGTTCTGCACGCGCAAGTCAGCCAGCTGCCTTTCGTACTCCGCTAAGGTGACGGACGAAGCAACAGCGGCATTCGATGGCGTCCCGTCGTTGGTAGGTGCGGCAGGCACAGCGCTCGCTGCCGTCGCCAGTGCTGCGTCACACGCCCCCTCGGGTTGCGGCGGGGGTCGCTGCGCCAGAGCAGCGCACAGCGCCTTGAGGTCGCTTTGCAGCGCGTGGATTACGGCGCGGTCTTGGGTGAAAGCTCCGCGGAGCGCATCGGCCTCGTCCTGCTTTGATTGGCCAAGGAGTGCTAAACAAGCCATGGGAGGAAGTTGCTCTTCCGCAAGCGCCTGCCGCGCTAACGAGCGAAGCGCAAGGTTGGCCTCCAGCATGCTGCGCGTCGCCATCTCTGCGCATTCCACACCCTCGCGCACCTTGCGCTCCGCCTCGGCGAGGTATCGCAACAGTTCCGGAAATCCCCCTTTGCCGCCCTCCTCCGCGGAGCCCTCCTCAAACAGATTGCGTCGCACCGCGCAACGCTGCGTTGACGCCATCGGCACCAGCGCAAGTGGGCTGCTGCCCTCCCCGCTCGCCAAGCCGCTCCTCACCGGCGACAGTGCGGATCCGGTCATGTCTAACAAACCGCTGCTTACGTTTGCCGCGGTGCCGAGCCGAGGCACGCGTGGGGAGACACAGCTGCTGTTGTGGAAGGGCGACGGTAAGTGAGAGCTGCTCATGTCTGCATCGTCTGGTTGCGGGGACTTGGCGGGGTTGCGCGGAAACATGAAGTCATGGAGCCATTCCGATCCCATGTCCATCGACGCTGCGTTCGCGTCCCGGTTGCGGACCATCGGGTAACGAAGCTGCATCTCCTCCCAAAAGTCTATCCACTGGCGGTGGTCCGCGGCGCTATCGGTGCAGAAAATCTCGAGGAAACGGCGCAGTTTCCCCGTGGCGGCGTCGCGGAACACGCACTCGATGCCGAAGTAATAGTAGCCCGCTAAGCTCTTCGCTCGCAGCGGATCGCGTGTCTCGAACACCAATCGACTCTCCGTTGTTGTGCGGGGCTGGTGGCGCAGCATCGTCATCCGGCGCGTCTGCGGCACGGGCCCGCTCATCTCTCCCACGTGATTGTGCGGGTGCATGTAGTCAAAGAGGATGCGCACCCACTCAAACTGCCGCTCCTCCAGCTGCCGGCTGCTCTTCGCCCAGCTGGTGTAGACAGAGAGGTGGTTGTCCTCGCACACCACCCACTGCGCCGTCGCCCGCTTCTTTTTACCCGGGATGCTCTTCCCCGTCACATACCACAGTTCACCCTCGATGTGCTGGATGTCCGGTGCTTGCGGCAGCACCTCATTCGGCACGGAGCCCGGTCGGTTCATCGACACAATGGACGGCGATGCACCACGAAAGGGAGAGCTGCTGTACAGGTTCAGCGAGTCCTCCTTCGCGCTGGGGAGGGGAGCACTATCGTCGTCCGCGTCGTCACGCACCGCGACGCGCATGTGTGACAGCAAGCTTCCACGCCTCGAGCCGCTCCGTTTACGCGTCGCGGTGGTGACGCTGCGAGCACGAGCCGAGGCCACATACCCGCGCGGTGTGTAAGGACCACGCGAAAAGGCGGAGAAGGAAATCTTGGGGCCGGTGCGGATGGAGTCAGGCGCGTCGCTGAGGACACTGCCCTCCAGCAGTCCTTTCGGGTTTGGTGTTCGCTGTTGGCTCATGGCGGAGCTCCGGTTTCTCTGGTCGACGCTGATGCCTTGCAGTAGGGCCTGCTAGAGCGCGTCGAGCTCTGGTTTCTGAAAGTGGGGCCGCCACCGCCGCTGCTGCTTTGCAGTTGATGAGCGAAGATAACACACAAGGAGTAGCAAAGATGGAAAAAAAAAGCAAAACCACTGAGCGGTTCTGATCAGGTGTTTAAAAACAACAGAAAGCAACGCACCTACAAGGAAAACGCTAATTGAGGCAAGTCAGTGCGCTGACGCGCTGCTCTATTGTAAATGAATCACAAAATGGTACAAAATGCAAATCAATTGCAGCCACTAGAGAGAGAGAGAGTAAACTGTGCCGAAGCAACAGGCACAAAGCAGCGGAGCAAACAGAGACGACGTTCAGCACCTATTTTGCTTTGGAGGAAGGGATTTGTGCCTTTTTGGATTCGTTCTTTTCTTCCAAACACGTTTTTTTGCCTTTTGCGTCTTCGTTGCGGGCGGTGTCGTTGATATTTCCTTCCCCTTTCGCCGTGTCTCTCTGCCTCGGTGCGTCTCTGTTGACTCGACTGCAGATCTCTGCGGTGCACTGCAAAAGCAAGCAAGTGGAGCAATCAGTTCGTTAAGACAGGAAACAAAACAGAAGCACAGAAATGTAAAACTGAAGGGAGAAATATCTAATACGGTTCAACAACAAAAAAGAGAGAGCGTTGTTGCTTACGCCGTACGGAGCACAAGAACAGACTCTTGCGGCTCGTATATCACAAAGAGAAAAGAAAAGAGGGACAGAAAAGATTTGCGGAGATGTGAAGCCAAAGTGGTCGACAATCGCCAAAGGAATAATAGCTTTAAAGGAAAAAAAGGGCGCCACAATTTTGAAGTAGCAGCAGTTTGGCGTGCTGAAATCTGTAAAAAGCTAGAAAAAAGGAGGGGAAAGACAGCAGCGCACAAAGCGAAGGTGCTTCGGTGTTAGAAGCAGCAAAAGAGCTATGTATAATTTTGTTTCGGATATAGTGAAAACAATGATACGGAGATGTGTAATTGGACGGCACTTACAGGGGGAAACAAGTTGGAGTACGCCGACAACTTAAGCAGAACTCAACAACAAAGAATCGCTTCGCTAAAAAAAAAAGTAGTGTAGCGGGAAGCTCTCAACTAAACAATAACCCGCCACAGTTTTGTAGAGCAAGACAGAAGAACGAGAGAATGGTACAGGCCCACGAAGGAGGAGAAAGAACAGTTCGGACACACACGGCAGCCAATCGCGTCCAGTTGTATGTGGGCGGAGAAGGTGATGATAGTGATGCCGGTGTGATATGCGAAGCGAAAAGAAGCGAATGACGCGAGGGGGAGCAACACAGCCAATCGAAGTAGGAATTTATCTTCGGGAGCAGACAAAAAAGAGAAGCTCGGGGTTTTCTGAGTTGAAGAATCTGTAGTGTTTGCAGCCTGCCACGCCGCGTGTAAGGTCCGCCCACGAGTGGGAAAGCAGTGCGAAAGAAGGCAAGGTAGCGATGACTGCACACACGTTTCCTTGTGACGAAACAAGGGGGACGGTCACAAAGACAAAAGCGAGAGGCAGCGACACCCTGTTGCGAACAAGGTGCAGCAAAGAAGAGATGCGGCTGCTGATCCGTCGAGGGAGTCGCAAAGAAAGCGTACCCGATGATCCAGGGAGTGTTCTGGTGACTGAGATGGTGAGAAGTACCGAGCGCGTGTGTGACACCGTTGTGAGGCGAGTACAAAGGCTACCAAACGAAAACGCTCAATGCTGTTGCTCTACACAGATGCACCAAAGCGGGTGGTGCGCAGTAACGTCGGAGATGAACGCATAGAAGAAGACAGAGGAGAGAGAGAAAAAATGGGAAGGGAGTGAGGAGCACCCTTCGCTAGGGGGAAAAAACAAGAGACGCCGCATGTTAAGTGGCCAACGAAACAAATGAGACACACGTGTACACATCTGGCACTCAGCACGGTCCTCTTTGTACGTACTAGTGTCGTAGTGTGAGAGCCACGATTGCAAGGGCAAGGAAAAGAGAGCATCTGCGTGCCGTTGCTGTTGTTCATTGAACGCGGAAGACACGACGATGCGCTCCACAGCACATTCGCACGGCCGCATGTGGGTCGCGTTCGGGCACGTCGCAGCTCCCCCGACACTCAAAAGCCGCCTTCCGCCTCCACGGCTTCGGTCCTCAATGACGGCGGCGAAGGAAGCTGACCCTAACTGAGTGCGCGTGCAGTTGTGCTGTCTCCCGTTGTGTAGTGAAAACACGTTTGCTTTGTTTTTTTAGTGAAAGGAGTAAATCATGAAACGTAGAAAGAGAAAAGGAAAACGTTTTCGGTCAAACGGAAAAGACGCGTTTTTGACCCTCATTGCCACACGCCGCCGCAGCGGGAGTACGAGGCACAGCACGCACCAAGCACTCCCTGCCACGCCGGACAGCAGCGCGTTGCCGAGAAGCGAAGAGGCGGAAACAAACAACGAAAAAAGAGAGAGAAGGCGACACACGCGATCGAACGCGTGAGTGAGCCCCTCCTTTCTTTTCCCGTCGGTTGAGCCGCTCACTCCTCCGGATGCCACGCACCCTTGACGGCCTTACCACCGCGAATACGGCCAGTACGGCGGGCAGCAATGAGACCGACCTTCTGGCCCGGCGGGGCGTGGCGGGACACCGTCGACGGGTGGCCAATGTGCTGATGGTTACCACCACCGTGCGGGTGCTCCACGGGGTTGCGGGCAACACCACGCACCTTGGGCCAGCAGTTGCGCTTGCCGCGGAAGCGGTAGAACGAGTTACCGGCCTTCAGCACGGGCTTCTCGATACGGCCACCACCGCTGATGATGCCGATCATGGCGCGGCTGGTGCTCGGCACCGACTTCTTCTGGCCGCTCGGCAGCTTCAGGCGGGTGCGGCCCGTCTCGTGGTTGTGCGAGATGATGATGCAGTAGTCGCCGGACGCACGGGCCAGCGTGCCACGGTCGCCGGGCTTCGCCTCCACGTTGCACACGATGCAGCCCTCCGTGATCTGGCCAAGGGGCAGCACGTTGCCGATCGCGAGCGGGGCCTTCTGGCCGCAGAACATCGACTGGCCGGTGAACATGCCCTCCGGCGCTACCATCAGCTCCTTGACGCGGCGGAACTTGTACGGGTGGCGGAACTCCACGCGGGCGAGGGCGGCACCGCGGCCGGCCTCGTGCACGATCGCCTTCACCACACCGCGCATGAAACCGTGGCGCTCGGCGTAGTCGAGAATGCGCAGCTTGGCGGGGCCAAGGCGCCTGTGGCCGTGCACTTGGTACACGGAGCCCACACCGCGACGGCAGGTCAGCACAGTCTTACCCATTTTGATAAAGGCGGGACGTTTTCCTTCACAGAAAGGGGAGGGGGAACAACAGCAAAAAAAAAAACGACGAGTTGGCAAAAACGCGTGCGAAAGCGAAGTACGCGTGTTTGAATTGCACGTACGAGAATAAGGGGGGCAGTTTAGTTGGTCAGTCGAAAAAAAAAGAAAACAAGACGAGAGTAGACACGAGAAGAGACGGAAACAGTCAGATGATGAGAGAGAGGAGAAGGGCGTTGTGAAGACATGAAAGCGAATGTGGATCACAACGGTCAAGATATTCACTACACAGTGCGCGCGTCTGCTTTAATCACCCAGCACGAACACAGAAAAAAAAAAGAAAAAGACACTTCTACCCGTACACTGCTCTGCGGGCATGTTTCTGTTGTCTAATCCTGAGTAAGGGGCGGAGTTGCTCTTGCAATTTTTGGCGGCAGCGTCCCCATGAAATGCTTCTTTTGCGGGTAGTTTCTTTTTGTATTACTCTTTATTTTTCACACTTCTCCTCCTTGTTATGCATTCTTGTGAATTTAGACAAGTGGAAACAGAATAGGGGTAAAATAGAAGACGCACTGATGTAAAAACACACAAAGCTAAGTGTAAACGGGTAATAAAGCATTGTTCTTTTCCTTCATCTGAAAGAAAGAAAAAAAAAGCAGCTCTCGACAACAACAACTGCCGTTCAGCAAATACAAAGGAGTGCAAGTGTTTTCCTTAATAATTATATTTTGATGACAATAAATAAACGCGCCTCACGTTGTCTCCTGTCATGCTGCGCCAGACGCAGCGACAGGAGCGTAACATATGAAGAGGAGACCACACCTCCTTGGACGCCAGGAGATTGTGCAGGAGGAGAAGGGGGGCAGCGCACCGCAGAGTACGGTAGCCCATTTTTCACCTTCGTACTTCTTCACGCCAGCTCTTACACGTGGCCCTCCAGCCCAAACTCCGTCACAAACGGCTGCAGATCTTCGTTGAAGGACACCGACACAAGGTCGTCGCGATCCATCAGGTTCAGCGCCATGCGCAGGAGATCCCACATACTTCGCGTGGCCATTCGCGATCCCTCCCCGCTCGGGTTGGTGCCACCTTGCTGCGTAGCGATCGCCTTCACAATCTGCCGGGCAGCCATGTTGTACTGCGACATGTTACTGTACGCCACCGCCATGTTGTACATGGCACGCACGTAGCCAGGGTTGATGTCGAGGGCATGATTGTAGGCCTCCAGCGCCTGCTCCGGATGGCCGCCGTTGGCCAGCGTGGCACCCAACTTGTTCCACATCTTGGCGTCGTCAGGGTGCAGCGTGACGGCCTTGCGGAAGCACTCCGCGGCGTCGTCGAACTCGTGTCCAACATTGTGCAGCACGCCGAGGTTCGTGAAGAGCTGCGGGTCACTCGGGTTCATCTCGATTGCCGCCACGTAGAGCGTACGGACCTCCCGCATGCGGGTCGGGTCAGCAAAAAAGAAGGTGTCCTGGATGTCCAGATCCGGATCGGCGCCGATGGAGATGGAGGCGAGCTGCTCGTACTCGGGGTGGTTCACCAGCCACGCCTTGAGGGAGTCCATGGCCGCGTCGGCGTTGCGCTCGTTCGTGTGCGACACGCTGAGGGCAGCGTGCACGTCGAGGTTGCGCGGGTTGAGCTTGCGGGCGTTGTTGAGGGCGATGATGGCCAGGCCGTCCTTCTCGTTCTCCGCCTGCGTTGTCCCGAGCAGCTGCCACGCCTTTTCGTTGCTGTTGTCCTTCTGGCACACCGCCTCGAAAGCCAGGGCGGCCTCGGCGAGATTGCCCAGCTGCAGCATCTCCATGCCCTCCTCAAAGGGCGTGTCGCGGAACATGTACGGGTTGTTGGGCTCGAAGGGGTAGTCGGTGTTGTTGGCGGCCTTCTGCAGGCGCTCCTGCATCTCCGCGTACTCCTGTGCCCAGTCCTCGACGTCGTTTTCCGCCATGTCCATCTCCTGCACGTAGGCGTCCTCGCCAACGTCTGCCGCCGGCGCATTTGGGATGACGCCCTGCGGGGCAGGCTGAAACACCTCAGGTGGCATGTTGAGACCCTCTGACGCGGCTAAGTTTTGCAGGTACGCCGCATCCTCGGGGACGGCGACCTCCGGGCCGGGGCCCTGCACCAACTCTCCCTTCTCCTCATCGATCAGCAACTCCTTGTTCTTCACCTGGTCCATGAACTTGTAGAACTCGCTATCCTTCATCCGCTCCTCCACGGTTTGGTTCTCGGTCCCGGGTGCGGTGAAGGTCTGCACCTGCGAGTAATCCGTGCTCCACTGCTGCTGGCTGAGCTGGTCCGCCCACGCGCTGTCCTGCGAGGCTGGGGCGAGGTTCACGGGGGTCTGCTGCTGCTGCTTCGGCTGCAAGGCGGAGAGGGTGGACGACGGTTGGTACTGCGTACGCGGCATCATCATGCCGAAGCCCATATTGGCCGCCATCATGCCTTGACTCATCATGGTCGCGTTCATCATGGCGGCCTGTTGTTGCTGCTGCTGCATGCCCATAAACTGCTGCTGCTGAGGGGCCGCCATGGCGAAAGCCTGTCCTGGGGAAGCAACACCCTGGTGCTGCTGGAAGGCCTGCTCCATTTCGTGTTGCTGACGCATGGCGTGCATGGCCTGCTGCTGCTGGAAGTTCTGCGCCCACTGCGCCGCCATCATTGGGTCTGCCCCGGCGAGCTGCGCGTTGGCCATGAGGGCGTCCTGCTCCGACATGACCCCTGCCATGGGGATGCCGCCGTGCATCATGCCGGCATCCTTGGAGAACTGGTGCCCCAGCTGCATACCAGCATTGCAGTCCATTACGTTCGTCAAAAGGTGTTGTTTGGTGAGTGGACAATATGCGTCGTGGCTTCTGTGTTTTTCTTTGGTGTACGTGATATTAGGATTTTCTCTGCCGTTTTTCGTTTGAGGTTATCTCGTTCGTTCTCGGCGGATCGCTCTTCAAGTTGACAAAAAAAAAGGCACTGCGTGAAGAAGACAAAAGTGCAAAGAAATCCGTCCCGCGAAAACCGTGAGAATAAGGGAAAAAAAGAATTAGAGACATCAACGAGTTGTGGCATGCATCAACAATGAAGGGTATAAGACCTCTTCCAATGAAGGAAAAAATACGCTGCATCTTTCATTTGATTTGCGCGTACTGTGAAGAAAGAGTTGTTTTCGTGCCGCGAGCGATGAGGCACGGACCGTCACGCGGATACACTTTTTGAGTTCTTCTTGCAGATATATATATCTGTGTTTCTGTTGTTACTTTTGCTGTTGTTATGATTTAGGTGTTAATTACCAAGAAGCCAGAGTGAGAAAAACTTAAGAGGAGTTCAACAACAGTGGTTCTCTCTCTCTTTCTCGGGAAACAAAAGTTCACCACTTTTTCTTTGTTTACGGCGCTTTAAAATCGTAAGTCAGGAAACAACAGTCTGAAGGATGCATCTGTCTGCCCTGCCGAGAAGACGAGACAAACAGAGACGAAAAGACAGAAAAGAAAAAGCGGTGAACAGAAAAAAAAGAAACAGCATTCAATCCTTCGATACAGACTCCGCGCACTACAACTGAAATCCTCGACATTAACAGAACAGCGTAAAATCACTTGGAATTAATCAGCACGAAAAAATAATAATAATAATCATAATCATAAGGGTTTCTTTTTAAGACTAGAAAATGCGAGCCACGGGAAAGCCGCACAGACAAACGAGCTAGCAAGAATTTGATCGTTTTGTTTGACGTTCTCCTCCAGTCGCGACAAAATTCAACAAGAAAAAAAAAGTAAGAGAAGTTGTCAAGCAAACGCTCTCAGGAATGTAGAAGAGGCAAGCACTGCGCTTCTGCTTCTTTTTCTTTCCACTGCCAACTCAGTTACTGCAAAACAACAAAAAAAAAATAAGAGAAATGAGTCGCTACGATGCTGAGACTTCCTCCTATTATTTTTTTACGCGATTCCTCGTTCTATTAAACTGATCATATTTTGTGTTGGTACGCGTCTGCGTGTGTGTGCGTGTGTGCCTGTCTGTCTGTCTGTCTGTCTGTCTGTTTGCATTGTGTTTTGGTGCACCTCCTTCATTGTCCTTCGCGGGTTTTCCTCGCCCCTTAATCATTTCCCTTTTTTGTATTCTGTACGGTTCATGCGGTGAACGCGTTGCCATGCAAGAGAAAGGAGAAAGGGAAAAACAAAAAGAGAGAGACACTGCGCGCAAAGATGTGCTGCACGAGACACACCGAAGAAGGGGTAAGTGGTAAAGGAAAAAGAATTCAAGAAAAGAAACAAAGTGAGGGGAGTGCGTTGTAGCCGCCCTGCTTCTTCGTTGCGCAGGTGCGCGCAAACAAACACACTCTCACAATAGCGCGCCTCAACTTGAAATAATACTCAAACATGACCTTTCCATTTCCGCTTTCGCGTGTCGTTACGGCGGTTGCTTTTGTGCGTCTGCCCCTGACTACCTGCCTGCTTAGTACTCACGGCTGTTCGTGTCCGCCAGTTCCTTGAACCACTGCATCGCCTCCGCCAGCGTCTTGTTCCCCAAACGCTTCTCACCGCGGGCGCGGATGTTAACGCTGGAGGCCTCCATCTCCTGCTGGCCGACCACCAAAATGATATTGTAGCGCGCCGTCTCGGCGTTGCGGATCTTCTTGTCGAGGGTGGCCGCACCAGTGTCGACATCGGCGTGGAAGCCGGCGTCGTAGATCGTGTCGCGCACCTTCTGCGCGTACTCGTAGCACGGACCAGACACCGGCACCACCATCACCTGGCGAGGACTCATCCAGAACGGCCAGTCACCGCCGTAGTGCTCGCACAGAATGGCGATGGAGCGCTCCAGGGAGCCCATAATGGCACGGTGGATCATGACGGGGCGGGCCTGGTTCGGGTCGAGCTCCAGGTCGATGCCGAGGTCGTGCACCGCAGCCTCGTACGTGCCAGGCTTCGGCTTCGCGCTTGCCTCGCCAGTGCCAGCAGCACCTCTCGCGGCAGGGTCGGCGGCGTGCTTCGGCTTGTCTCTTGGGACGGCCTCCGCGGCCGCGCCGTCCTTCTCCGACGTGGGCAGGGTATACTTGAGACCGAAGCGGTTGGGCAAGTTGAAGTCTAGCTGGATCGTGGCGCACTGATGGCGGCGGCGCAGGGCGTCCTCGACGACGATGTCGATCTTGGGGCCGTAGAAGGCGCCATCCCCTGTGTTCTCCGTCCACCCCTCGCCGTCGTTCACCGGGCCCTTCCACGCGCCCGCGTCCTCCTCCCGCTCCGCCCTCTTCACAAGCGCCTTCAGTTTCTTCACCGCGTCTGGGCGGCCGTCGAAGTGGAAGGTCTGGCCGGGGTGCATCGGGTCCGGCAGCTGCTGCGGGATGCCGCAGAAGTTGTTCAGCGCGGTGCACAGCTGCGACTCCGCCTCGTCCCAGATAGCGTCCGAGCCGAGTTTGTTCTCGGGGCGGGTGGAGTGGCAGAAGAAGAACTTGAAGCCCATCACGCCGTACACGTCGCTAAGGAACTGCAGCGCCGCCTCGATCTCGTCCGTGACCTGGTCCATGCGGCAGAAGATGTGCGCATCGTCCTGCTGGAAGCGACGCACGCGGGTGAGGCCGGTGAGGGCGCCGCTCAGCTCGTTGCGGTGCAGCACGCCGAAGTCGGCGTAGCGGATCGGCAGCTCCTTGTAGGAGTGCTGCTGGGATGCGAACATGATGCAGTGGCCCGGGCAGTTCATCGGCTTCAGGCCGTACTCCTCCTTCTCGCACACAGTGCGGAACATGTTCTCTGCGTACTTCTCCCAGTGGCCCGACACCATCCACAGCTTGGACGAGTACATGTTGGGTGAGATCACCTCCTGAAAGCCGCGGCGGCGGTACTGTCGGCGCAGGTGCTCGACGATGGCGTTGTAGATGCGCGCGCCGTGCGGCAGCCAGAAGGCACTACCGGGCGATACCTCGTGGAAGTTGAAGAGCGCCTGCTGACGGCCAATGATGCGGTGGTCGCGCTTCGCAGCCTCCTCCTGGATCTTCTTCCACTCCGCCAGCATCGGGTTCTTCGGGAAGGAGATGCCGTAGACGCGCTGCAGCACCTCGTTCTCGGCCTTGCCCTCAAAGTAGGAAGACGAGTTTTTGGTGACGGCGAAGGCCTTCACACGGCCCGTGTCGGGGAGGTGGGGGCCGCGGCAGGGGTCGATGAGCATACCGCAGCGGTACACCGTGCAGGTCGCGCCGTCCTGCACCTTGCTGGCCAGAATCTTGCTCTTGAAGTCGGTGTAGTTGAAGAGGCGCAGCGCGTCCTCCTTGGGGACCTCGAGCCGCTGGTAGGGCATCTTCTGCTTCACCAGCTCCTGCATGGCGGTCTCGATGGCCTTATAGTCGGACTCCGAGACAGGGCGGTTTGTCATGCCCTCGTAGAAGAAGCCGCCCTCCTCCAGCGCGGGGCCGACAGACAGCTTCGTGTCCAAGATGCGCTCCATCGCGTAGCCGAGCACGTGCGCCGAGCTGTGCCAGAACACCTCCCGCGCCTCCTTGTCGTCCCAGTCGAGCAGCTCGAGATCGCAGTCGCCCTCGAAGGGGCGAGTCAAATCCCAGAGGTGGTCGTTGACGCGCGCCACGATGACTTTGTCCGGCAAGGAGTTGGACAGGCGCTTGGCGATGTCCAGAGGGCAGTTCACCCAGCTCTCCGCGTCCATCAGCTTGCCGTCTGGCAGGTGCACCTTGATGGGGGTCTTCATCGATTCATATTTGTTCTGTTGCTCTTGCCAGAGACGGTCAAAGATCTCGACACGGTGCTGCCAGAACTCGGGCTCGGGCAACGTCGCCAGATTCACGGTCGTCTCCGCGATCTTCTTCTTGCCTGACATGGTTGGCTTGGGCGAGGCAGCGAAAAGTGAGACGGTGCGGTGACACGCGAGCAGCGGGTTGCGGCTACGGTTGTTGTTGGGGTTCTCGATCGACGAAGAGTAGAAGCGAGACGCACAGGAGAGAGCGGGTGGCGTCGGACAGGCTACTCCGCAAAGGACGCGTAGTGACTTCAGTTTGAATAGGAGGGAAACCACCGAAAGGTGAACGGTTTGCTTCTATATCTATATATTCTTTTTTTTTTGGTGCTGTCTCGAAGAACCGCTAAGGAGAAAGAAAAGAGAGTGTGGGGAACACTAAACCGAAGTTCCCGTCGCTAAAGCTTGTCAGAGTCAATTATGATGAAAAACAAAAACAAAACGCGTTAACGAATAACAACGGAGAAAACCCTAAAAAAAGAAGGCATTTGTGTGATCGCGAAGAGAAGTATAACAAAAGGAAGGAAGGAAGGAAGAAGTCAGCGAAGCGCTATAAGAAAAAAAAAAGGAAGGAGCTCCCAAAAGCAGTACACTGGCCCTTTTTTGGCGAGTGGAACTCTTCTCTGCCGTGTGGTGCGTCCGTTGGCGGATAAAACCGCCCACGTGTGTGTGTGTGTGTGTGTGCGGAATCACGCAGTAATGTGCCTTGTCCACCAAGAAAAAGAAACGCCATTAAAGTCGTCGTGTGTATTGGAGTTGACAACCACGCTGCAACGAATCAACGTTGACGAGCCGCGCGCAAACACCTAGAACCGGCATCTCCGTAGTAGTGGAGACCTGGCGAAGACACACACACGCACACTCACGCAGCGAAAGAGGCGTAACTGGCAGACAAAAGGCAAGAGGGAGGTTCTTCCCTTGTATATAGATACATGATGCTTCACCGTCGCGATTAAGTAGCTTCGAGTAGACGCATTCGTGTGAAACGTAGATGAGATTCCCCCACCCCATCCCACCCCTTTGCATCGCTTAGCTCTGCGGGACGCAAAGGAGAATACTGTACAACGCACACATACACACGCATAGAAGCAAACGCCCGGGACCACTTCGCCTCGGCACCCACGCTTCAGCAAAATTACGAGTAGCAGTCTCATGGCTAAGACGCCGTCCATTGTGTTCTTCTTTTTTCTTTACTGACAAAGAACGACGGTTGTTTTCACTTATCCATGCGCCTCTTTGTCTTTTTGACAGCGGTTGCACCAGCCTTCTTCGCTGTCATCGCGGACTTGCGCTCCGACGGGCGCATCGCGGACACCTTTGCACTTTCCGGTAGTTTCTTTTTAGGAAGAGTCGCATCCTCCTTCGCATCTACGTCCTCGTGAGCGCGCTGCTGCCGCTTGCCTTTGCGCTGCTGTTGGGCTTGCATAGCCATGCGGCGGTACGCCTCGTTCATCGAGCGTTCCTCGTGTCGCGCCTCCACCTCCGCCGCACGGCGGGCCCGTCGCTTCCCCTCCGCCTCCTCGAGCAGCGAGTCCCACGTGAAGTCCTCCATGAAGCGCACCGTCCACAGTTGGCCGTAGCACCGCCGCTGACGCTTCACGTCCACGGGCTGACCGTTTTTGCACGCGGCGGCGTCTCGCGCGTCGTCGACCGAGGTGAACTCCATCCAGCCCTCTTTGTACTGCAGCGGCAACAGCGCACCGCCAGGACGGCGGGCCTTCTTGGGAAAAGGAATGAACTTCATGCGACGGATGTCACCGTGTTGATTGAAGTGCAGGCGAACTTCCTGCGGACGCATGTCACGTGGGACGGTATTGAAGTACAGTACCCCACGCTGCGTGGAGGGGGTGTAGCGCTCCTCCTTGAGCGAGTTCATTGTGTGTTGAACTGCTTGCGTGGTCGTCTCACCCACGGATATGTAGTACTTCTTTATAATTGGGAAGAGAAGAAAGAGAACGCGATGTGAGGCGAAAAGACAACGGGAAGTGCACCATAGAGTAGAGAGTAACATAAGGCATCGATCTTCAAAAAGCCCACAAAGTTTCGAGAAAGCAATGCCCCGAGAAAACAAAATCTGAAAACACGTGCAGTGCAGATGCAAAAAGGCAACAGAACACAAAAACAAAGACGAACAGAACAGTTCGTTACTCCATCCCTGGGAAGGTGTACACACTTTCTCTTTCGCTTCGCACCCTCCCGTTTCCTTCACGCTGTTACACATTCATGGATCCTTTGTTGTTGTTGTTGTCGTTGCTGGACTTTCATTGAGCAACACACAACTCAGTCTTTGCGTCACCCTTTCCGTTGTTCCTGTTTGTGTTGCTGTAGTTGAAGTTTTAAACGTAAACGCCGTCCGGAGGGCAGAGGTGCCAGTCATTGGATATCAGAAAAGCAAACATTAAACATATATATAGAAATTCACAGACGTAAAAAAAAATGGATGAAAGACGCAAAAAGAAAGAGAAAAAAACGGGTGGAGAAGAACACGCGTTATCCACGCACCGGTGAAGCAATCCGCAAGAGAGAAATACACGTGGCAGAGCAACAACAAGGAAAAACAAACAAACGCAATGCACCACTCACCGCTGACGTAACCAACACCACTACGCACTGGCAAGCACCGGCAAACGCAAAAGCGCAATGTGCATTGGGAAGGAAAAAAAGGAGGAGAAAAACAATAACGCGCGAGTGGCTCAGAAAACGAAAAAACCTCGAAACACGGGACAGGCTCCTGATTCACAGAAACGAGCCGATTTGGCCAAAGAAGATCGTACCACCTGCATTCGTCAACGTTGAAGCGGTTGAGCTTCACTCTACGTGAGACGAAGATCCAAACAACTCACAGCAATTAAAAAGCAACAAATATAAATTCCATGTAGGCATTGTATAATGAAGAGGGGACAACAGCGGCAACAGCGCAGAGGTATAATCGCAGGTTTACATTAGTTTTCTTGTCTTCAAAGCACCGTCCTCGTCAACTTTTCATTTCAAACATGCTACTTGTACGTAGTAGAACTGAGCTACCGGAAGATCTAAAACAAACAAAATGTTTTCTTTGTCACACACACACACACACATGCACACACCCATTTTTGCGTGTACTAATTTTTGTCCCCATGGGTTCGGTGGCTGGCGGGAGGGGTGGGCGACGGGCGAGACGGGTCTTGCATATGGTTGCTCCCGTCTTTGGTTCGACTCGACTGCGGCCGAGAGCGGGGCACCGCGGGCGCCATTGTGTTCGAACCCGTGGAGGACTCCAAGTACGACTTGACCAGGCTATCTGAGGACGCGATTCGCAGTTCGACGGGCACCGCGCCATGTGTGCGCATCGCTGATAGCGGTGGCCGAATCACATTGGACGTCGACGAGTGCAGCTTGTTTGTGGACTCTTGCGGCGGCGGAGTTGCGGCCGGGGTCGTGTTCGAGCTGTCTGAGAGGCGCTGCTTCGTTTTAATCCGCTTGCTCAGCTCCCCACTCAGCAGTTCCCCCAGCATGAGCTTCTTCACCGGTGACGGGGTGATGTCGTCGTAGTGCACCGGGGCGAGGTAGGCGAGGAAGACGGAGACACCCTCGTACACCGGCGGGGACTGTGGGGACATCGCTTTCCTTTGGGGCGAGCCCATCTTCAGCGCTTCGCTGTTCGCCACCCCCATCGCATTCTTCGCGCTGGACTTGACCTTGGACTGCCCCAGCTGCTGGTACTGGAAGACGATGTGCCACCGATCATGGTCGCTGGTGATGACGTGGATGTTCACGTGGAAGCAACGAGCAGCGGCGTTGAGGCACAGCTCGTCGCCCCACGTTCCCTGCTCGCGCATGAGGGAGAGGTAGTTGCGCCACTCCGCCTCTCCATCAAAGAGGATGGAGTAGTCATCGGAGTGGTAGGTCATGTACGCCACGGCGAGCGAGCGCAGCAAATAATGCAGGCGCGGCTGACCGAAGAGCTGGTTCGCCAGCGCACTGAAGAGACAGTTGCCGTCCGTCTTCTGCACGTTGCGGGAGATGTGCAGCCGATGGAGGCGAGCCTGCAGCCGCTTCTCGTTGTCCTCAATCTCCTTCTGCCGCGCCCGCTCCTCCAACGTTTGGGAGTCATTCACGCCAAACACGACGCCGTGCGCACCGTCGTTGGTGGCAGGGGTGCCACCGCCTTCGTTCACCTCGCGGTGCGCCGTCACCAGCTCGGCGTGGTTCACCTCCTTCTCGATCTTCGCCTGCCCCGCCAACACGTCTTCAGGGGTGTTGTACGTGCCGCAGGTGGGGCAGTAGCGCAGCCCGTCCGGGTCGCGGGCCATGTGGTGCAGCGCCGTGCATTGCGAACACGCCCAGTACCGGGGCTGCTTGCAGAAGTGGCAGCGGTCGCCGTCGAGTGTGTTAAGGGCGCCGCACTCGCGGCAGTTCCAGATACGGTGCAGCTCCCCATTTCGACACTTACTCGGCGGCGCTTTTGTCGAGAGCGCGTTCGGCGCGCCGATCGGGCAGGCGGCACCGCAGACGGGGCAGCGCACCGTACCAGGATTCACAAACCCGCATGCCTCGCACTCGCGGGCGAGGGCGGCGTTGAGAAAGGTGCACCGCGGGCAGCTCCACATGAACTTGGCACTCGTGATCGCCCCGACCGCGTCGCTCTTCCGCCCGATCGCGGAAATGCGGCGCTGCTCTTCCTTCTCCAGTCGCTGGCGAATCATCGAAGCGCTCATCACAAAGGAGGCCTGCTGGGGCTCGATTATCTCACCGTAGGTGCTGCACAGCGACTCCTCACCGAGCGACGCGGTCGACGCGCTGCGCTCCTCTTCATTGTCGTAAATCAGCTTCAAAAAGGCAGCATCGCTTTTGCGCCGCAGAGAAGTGTTAATGATGGGCAGCAGCAGCGACAGGTAAGAAATGCGGAAGCAGTTGAAGCAGAGGTAGATGCCACCCTGCAGGCGGAAGCGCAAAGAGCTCCCATGATTGCAGAGCCAGCAGGGGCGAGTGACAGTGGGTGAGGGGGTGGAAGCGGAAGGGGAAAGTGCGGCGGCTGCGGCGGCAGCAGACGGGGCGGCGGCGCCTTCTGTCGCTCTGAGCTTCTCCCGCTCCACCTTCCTGTCCAGCATCTCGTCTAACAACTCCATTAATATGAATTAAACAGAACCGAAAACCAGAGAGAATGAGGGAACAACAAAAAGGAGAAGAAAAAAAGAAATCAAACCTGGTTCAATGCTACGGGCACCGCGCCAGCAACGCAAGCAAAAAAAAAGGGTGGTCGGGCTCCAAGACCGCGGGCGGATTAACACCTTCCACGGCGATTCTACTTTTGCTGTAATTCTTCTTTGCAGTCCCTCACTCCTTTCCCACCGGTTTTTCCTTTCTTCACCGACTGTCGCCTCACAGCCTCCAGAGAAAAAAGGAGAGGTGTATTCCGCTTCGATTACAGCAATGAAACGAACAAAAAACAAGACGGATCAAAATATCTATCGAAGCAGTCCAAGGCGCAAAACACCAGAAATGTGAAAATCAAAATCTCCGGATAGAACGGATTTAGCCATCGGTGATGCGAGCACCGATAATGCTCTGCATAGGCTTGAAAATATCGTGAACAGTGAGAGAGAGAGATATGGGGAGAGGAAACGATAGAAGAAAAAGAAACATAGCATCTTCGCATGTCTGTCGCTGATGTATCCATGCATAAACACGCAACAAGAACTGCAAGTGGTGTTGAGTAGGTAAGAAGACTGCGTGCGAAGGTCGTGGAGAAGAAAAACAAACTGCAACGGTCGTCTTCTTCCTGTTGGCACGCAGTGCACTCCTGCAACCCAGCAACATCTTGCCCAAATGCTCATCGTTACTGCGAGTAACGGACCGCGAGCGAAACGCCAGGCCAGCAGAAAAAGGCGCTTTTCCTATCGGCGAAACAACAAGCAGCTGGCTCGAATCCGCGAATCAAAGGAATCCGTGTGCTTGGGCACCTCGCCTCTACACATGAGCCTCGGACAGCGTCAATGCACATCCCTCACCATTTGCGTTTTTTAATAATTATTGTTTTTTTTTTATCTGTGTGTATACCTTAATAGAACGTGGCATCCAGTGCGTGTTACCTAAGATTGTGTTCGAAAAAAAAAAAAGGCTGAACAACGAAACGAAGCGCCAGAAAGAAAAAAAAGAGGGGCAGGTGCTGAAATGAGAGAGTGCAGAGCAAGCCCTCGTCCCCACTCTTATTTTTTGCGCTCTTTCCTCGTCAGCCTTTTGAACGCCTAACATCTAACGATGTGCGCTCCCATCTCCCGTGCGCAACGCGGAAAACAAAAAACCCAGTCGAGCAGATGGAACAGGGGTCCCTCCTGAAGCGCACACACGTTTCCTAATTGGTTAAAAACTACGCGAGAAACAGCAAAACAAAAAAAGGAAGAGAAAAACAAGAAAAAGGTCGGCTACGAAAAGCGTCCCCTCACACCATAGAAGTCAGCTGCGCCTATTCCTAGAAAAAAAAAAGCGGAAACGAGAGAAAAAGGAGAGAAAAGAAGAAAAACTATAAATGGAGAACAAAGTCCGAAACAAGGTAGGCAGGCCAAGGAGTTTGGTGACTACGTTCTTTCCCAGCTGCGTTGATGGCAAGCACACCACGCTGACTTTCTTATACTTGCTCCACAATTCGTTGCCTTCTTCATCTCTTCGCTCTCCCATTTCCCCCCAGTTGCGTGGTTAATACCAGTACTTGTACGACCAATGCTGGGTCCAATCGTAGTTCGGGATGGCAGAGATGTAGCCCAGGTAGCTGTACACGGGCTTGCGGCCGTAGAAGTAGTGCTGAAGCACCTCCTGCACATTGGTGCCGGTGGTGTCGTCAATGCGGTCGTACATCTCCGTCAGCGGTACACGGCGGCCGTAGTGCAGCACCTGGCGACCAATGTCCTTCGCCGCGTTCGCGCTGCCGTCCATGTTGAAGAGCAGCTGCGCCTTCATGTTCACCTTCGCCTGCGCCAGTTCGTTGTCGTGCAGCATCTTCTGCGCAAAGCGGCACCACTCGGCGATCGTGTACTGCAGCACCTCGACGATGACACCGCCGTCGCCCGGACCGCCCTGCGCCTGGCGGCCGACGACGTACATGCCGCACAGCCCCACGTCCTTGTAGCTCTCCAGGAAGGGGTTCGCTATCTCGATCGACTTCTCGTTGAAGTGCGTATTGGTGGGAGTGGAGTGGTCCAGCGAGGAGAAGGTCTTCAGCACACGGTGCATGGCGTGCTGGCCGAGCTCGTGCTGGGAGCGGTGGAAGGAGCCGGGAATCTCGCAGGCGAGGGCGAGGGGGATGTTATCCTCGCACGCCGCCCCGCACGTCTCAAAGGCCCAGGCGACGTTCACGGTCTTGTAGCGAAGGTTCCACAAGCGGTACTCGCCGCCGACGTAGCGCGACTCCGGCATGGTGATGGTCTTCTGAGGGGCTGTCGCCACATCGCCGAAGTGGCTCTGCGCCGCCTTCTCGAGGGCGGTGTGGTCGACGCCGCCGCTGCCCACCACCACGACGCGGCTGCCGGCGAGGGTGCTGTCGCGGAACTGGCGCAGCTGGTCCGCCGTCACCTTCTTCACGCCCTCCTCGGTGCCGTAGAGGGGGGTGCCGACGCCGTAGGGTGTGCTGTCGAAGGCGCAGCGGTGCAGGTTGTCCATCACAATGTCGTCCGGCCGCTCCTCGAAGAGGCGCTGCTCCTCGTGCACCATCGCCCGCGCCTTCACGATGTCCTCATCCGCCAGGCGAGCATTACGCACCACATCGGCCAACAGGCCTACCGCGCGCGCGGTGTTCTCCTTTGTGACCTTCATGTAGAGGTAGGTGTGCTCGCGGCCCACGTTCACCTCCAGTTGACCACCGAGTTCCTCTACGGCCTTGGCGATCTGCGCACCGCTCTGGTTCGTCGTGCCGAGGAAGCCACACTTCTCCAGCACACGGGCGGTGCCGGCGGAGGCGGCGGGCTCGTAGCGGGAGCCAGAGTCCATCCAGACACCGACGGTCGCAATCTTGGAGAGCGGGTTCTCCTCGCATGCCACACGCACGCCGTTGCCGAGGGTGGACACGTTGGTAGGCGGCAGCTTGCTCAGGACCTCGCGGAACGCCGCCGAAGTGGCGTGGTTCGACGCGGGACGTGCGCGCTGCACCAGCGTAGAAAAGCTAACGGACATATTTCGCCGGAATTTGACTGAGTGTTGTGGTTATTCGACTCAAAAATAACGTGAAAAAGTGAAGAAGCAGAACTGAAGTGTTCCCTTCCAGTAATTGCAGAGAAGAAATATATATAGTAATACCAATATGTTGTGAAGTTGCTCCGAACTGTGAATGTTTGTCCTCTAAGAACAAAATGCAAAGCCACTTCTTAATAACTACGTTTTTTACACAGCTACTGCGCGTGTTTTCAAGCTTCACGGAGAAAATAAGAATCAAAAAAAAGAGAAAAGAAGAGATATACGTCGGGAAAAAAATATGAAAATAGGAAAGCTTTCAAACACAGAGAACCCCTCAGAACGGGTTGAACTCTGCAAAGCTGTCGGAAGCGCATCCGTGTGGCTTGCGTAAGAAGATTATCATGACATTGTTTTTTTTTTCTTTTCATACAAGATCCAAGACATATGCGTGCAAGCAACCATGAAGAGAACTGACGACGGTTGTGCGCAGCGGCACGAGTGGTGTAACTTTTTCCTTCGAGTAAGGGGAAACGCTATTTCTAAGCCAGTTGGGGTGTTGTCGCTGTCTTCTTTTGATTGATACAACACTACAATGCGAGCGAGTTCATGTCAGCAAGTCAACGTGAGCATGGAGGTGACGAGGCGCTTTGAGTGGGTAATGGAGAAAAACAAATTTCACCTTGTGAAGGTAATAGGTGTGTTGCATCGCAACCACGCACGCACAAACAGAGAAGCACCTGCTATTTTTTTTTGAATGGATTTGTTGGTGCTTGCCTTTCCTTCCTCATGATGAAAAAAACAAAGGCGCATCTGCAGCTCGACCGGCACACCAAGAAAGGAAGAAACGCTAACTTTCACTCCTTTAAGTGAAATAGAAATATAATTCTTTTTAAAACATGAGCAAAAATGGTAAATACTAAGTGATTAAGATTTTTGTTCCTTCTTGGGAAAGAAGAGCATGCTAGCAGTTACAATTCTTCTCTTCGCGTTGGAGTACCTTCACATACGTTCGCAAACAATGACGCACAACGAGAAAACGGAGAGAAGGAGAGAAAACTGCGTTCACGCTTTGACGCTAACAGCTTCGATGTCGGCTCCCCGAAAAGGAAAGACAAAAAGGAAGAGGAGTAAAGCAGTTCTGACAACCTTTTTGTTGGTGCTGTCAAAAAAAAAAAAGAAGAAGCAGTTTTTATTCTTCCATCGTTACGCACAGGAAACAGAGTCATTGAGCGCTGACGGAGAAAACGCATCCAACAGGAAAACGGCTTGTTTCCCTTCAACCAGAAGTCCGAGGGGAAAGGAGATTGAAGAGGGAAGCACGAAGCACGAAGGGCCAAAAGGTTTCGTTCGTAAAGCTAGTTTTCGCGCTTGTCGGCAGACTTCACCGGCTGCTTCTCCGGAAGCTTCTCAATGCCGACCGCAGTGCGGAAGATCACACCCACGTGAGACAAGTCGCAGAAGGGCGCGTTATCGGTGTGCTTGCAGCGGCACATCAAAAACTTCTTCGTGGTGTCCACCGTGAACTCCTTTGGCTGAATCGTCGTCTTTTGCTCCTCGTTGTAGGCGATGTGGCTGCCATCGCAGAACGGCTGCTTTTTGCTCAAACCGCAAGCGCACCAGTAATACTTCTTGCCGGCCTGGAGCTGCACGAAGCACGGCGTTTTGTTCGGGATGGCAACAATTCGCCGCGGGTTCTTCGGGTCCACCTTCGTCTTCCACGAAGCAGCCAGCAGACGGCAAGCGCGCATTTTTTTTTTTTGCTCAGAGGTGTTATATATGTTTAGACAGGTAATGTGGCGAAAAAGAACGTAAGGAGGACGATGCGAGCGGTGAGGGTGTTTAATGGATGTCGTGATCCAAACAAACAAACAAACGCAAGAAGCAAAGGTGGATGTCCGGTAACCGCAATGGAGGAGGAAACGTTGTCTGCACGTGCGTGTCCAAGGAAAGAAAGGAAGAGAAACAAAAGAGACGAGCACATGGAGACAGAAACAAAAGGCTGCTTTATATATACGTCACACACGAGTTTGTGCTTACTGATCATGTTGACGGGTTTCGTGTTCTTTTTTATTGTCTTTGAATGCAGAGCCACAAAGACAAAGAAGGCCTCATAAATGCCGGTCATTCTTTTCTTTTGCAATAAAGGGAAAATGAGATCTTATTGACGACAGGGGGACCCAGCGGTTCTGCTACTTCGAACCGGGCGCACAGCAATAATAATAATAGAAAAAAATGAGAGACATGTATGGGTAAAGCGTAAAAACCAAGAAGAAAAACACGCGTAAGTACCGATGAGAGCAACAAGGACAGTCAAGAAATAATAACAACAAAAAGAAAAAAAGAATTCCCAAACGAGCATGTTCAAGAGCAGGTTATACACACGAAGGTTACTTTTGGTCTGTGATGCAAAAAAAAAGAACGAAAACAATATAGCTGTATTTAACCAAATTTCGGCTTTTTATCCGATTTCTCTACATGGTGCGTGTGGTTAGTAGAAACAGTTAGAAGAAGAGCGACAATACAATGCGTCTCAATTTGAAAGCTTTGGCACAGTTCTTCTGTTATACTTGCAAAGAGAGAGTCCACAGCTCCGGTGTATATAAATGCATGTGGAAAGCCCTTCCCCATCTCTCTTTTCAAGCTCTGGCGAAAAAAAAAAAGATAAAAACTGGAGTTAAGGGATCGGGAGAGCACGATGTGCGCATTGCTACCGTCTCTTGATGCCACAGCACGATTGCTCAAGACTCAAAAGAAATTAAATATCCAAAACACCAAAGGGGGAAGCAAAGGAAAGAGAGCATCCCTTCGCACTTGGATGTTCACCGCGTGAGGCTGTGGATTGCTAACAAAAGAGCGTCAATCCAAAGCGTCTTGCAACTTACTCTAACTTTCAAGTTTCCTCTATTTCTCCCCTCGTGAGAAACAGATTTCCACCTGCTCTTTGGCTGCCCGCAAAAGTTAGCTCCTTTTTCTTACTGTTGCGCTGCGTCTTGCGTCATCTCATTTTTTTTATCCCTCGCCTCGCCTCGCCTACGCCCCAGATATATTTTACCTCTTTTTTAAAGCGTCTACAGTTTTCGCTCAAACAGAGGACGAGAGGAACGGCAAAAAGACGATAAAAAAGAAAAGAAGGAGAGGGGGTGACCTGACGTGTGCGAACGTCGGGAAAGACAAGGGAAGCACACGAAATGGCAAGCCCGCATAGGGCTCGCGTGAGTGTCTCATGCATCGCGCAGTTCAAAGCGGCTCTCCTCTCTTCTGGCCACTCTTAATGGTACGCTCGTCCTTGCGAATGGAAAAGGCAGCCGCCAGCTTGTCACGCCTAAAAGCAGCCATTCCGTCTTGCCTGTTCTTCATAATTGCATCCCGATCCTTCTTCTCGCTTGCTGACAGGTCCTTGATAAGATTCTTCCGCTCCTTTATGAACCTCTTCTTCTCGCTGTCGTCGAGCAGCTCCATGAAGGCGACGACATCTGCGTCGTACTCGTGCGCCTCCACGCATCCCGGCATCGCTGTCGCGAGGTCGGTTGTGGTGCCCTCGAGGGTCGCACCCCCAGACGGTGTTCGGACAGGCGTGCTCGCATCGGCCATATTCAACGGATCCTCGTGCGATTGGCTGTGCGCGTGTGTGCCACGGTGAGGCTTGAACACGTTCTGGACCGCCGAAAAGAAGGAGTGGGTGCTCTTTTTCCTACTCGCGCTCGGGTCGTCCGTCTCGGAGGAGTTCCCGGGGTCGGAGCCGGCGTGGGCGACCGCGGAGGTGGTGGGAGTGGCGCCACCCTGCGCATCCCCCTCCTGTTGGTCCGCCGCAGGGGGGTCGCCGCCGGCCTGCGGCGTGCACAGGCAGTTCACCGTCTCGCCGTTTTCATCGATGTACTGATACACGCACGTCCCTGGCGGTAGATCAGCCGCCGCAACAGCAGCACCGGTGGCATCGGCCGCCTCGTCACCAGCGTCGCCGTCGCCCTCCACGCGTGCGCGCTGCGGCAGGGCGTACACGGCGTCGTGCATCGACTCCCGCAGCTCCTGCGTGTAGTAAAAGGTGTCCCCGTTCTCATCTGTGTAGCAGTAGTACTGCGTCTCCTCCTCCGGCACCGCCTCGACTGGGGAGTCACCCGAGACGTAGGCGTCCAGGTTCGCGTCGCCGCCCGCGCCGTCCAGCTGCGGGTTCAGCGGACTCATCGTGTGCTCAAGCGAGAGGGGCACCTCCTCCGCTGCGTCGGGACCGGGGTAGGCGGTGACCGACATTGCCTGCCCCTCCTCCGTCTGCGGTGTGTGGCGCTCCTCGCCGCCGCCGTCGTTGCTGCCGTGCCGGTTGGAGCGACGGCCCGGGGTGAGGGGGAGTTTGTCGCGTATCCGCGCCATAAGGTTCCTGCCACCGGAGAAGGTGCGGCCGTGGTGGCGCTTGGCGGACGTCGTGGCCTCGTCGGTGCCGTGGTGAAGGTGCGTGACGGGGCAGCAAACACTGCTGCCACGAGGAAAGCCGCATGCCTTGCAGATGTCGGTGCACTTGTAGGCGCTGCCCAGCATGTGGTCCTCGAAGTCGTCGTCGCGGGAGACGGTGGCGTGGTGGCTACTTCCGCCGCCGCCTGCGGCACGGGCACTGGCGCCCTCGCTACGTGGCGTGATACCGTCGGCATTGGAGGGGCTGTGCTTGAAGAAGTTTCGAATCGCACCCATCTTCTTTGATTGGTGACCGGACGAGGAGCCACCACCGGTTTCGAGGACATCCGTCTTGGGCCTCTCCAGCTCGTCGTTCCCGCTGTTGGCGGTTTCGAAGGGTGCGTCTGACATGATGTCAACTACGACACTAATTATTTCTAAGAGAAAAAAAGGAGGGAAAACTACTTGGCGTATTATTATTATTTCTTTCCTTTTAAGAGGCAGGGGAAATCAGCCTTCCGGAGTGGCTTAGTTGATGAGCGAAAAGGGATTTTCCTTTCCTTTTTTAGCGTAGTAAATGGGCAGGAAAAACAAACAAACGTAAGAGCGAAAGGAAAGATGCCGCCAACGCAACAACAACAAAAAAAAATACACGTAATAATAGCGTAGTAACAAAAAAACAACAACAAAAACAACAACCAAAGGAGAGAACTGCTGTACGAAGCAGCGGCGCCAATCCTGACGAAAGATAAGCGTCTTGTTAGCTACGGATGCTTCCGTTGTGCGATTGTGTGCCACGAAGATACGCGACGGGGACAGTGGAAGCAAACAACAACAACAGAAAAAAAAATCAGAGGGAAAGGTGGTGGGTCGCCTTCGACAAGACACTCTCACGGAAACAGAAATAAAAAGGTTAACCGAGAAGAGAAATCCGGAAAAAAAAAGAACGCGAGAACAAAACAGACAGAGGAATTGCTTTCAGCCTGTAAAGCCAGTATTTCACTCTTTTGGAAGGAAAACAAGGAAGAGAAGCAAACCCCCTCGTTAACGAACGAGGATTGGAAAAAAGAAAAAAAAAAGAACGGAGGGTTTATAAGGAACGGAAACCTTTTGTTTCTATTATTGTTATTCTCCTCTTCACGATCGAAAACCCTCTTTACCGCGATGCGCGAATTCACCGTCTTAATTCACGCTTTGTTTTGCTTTTGTTGTTGTTGTCGTTGTTGACGTTTTTGAAGTGGAATTGAGGAGGAGAGAAAGATGACAACAAGGAAAAAAGGCAGTTTGTGTCGTGAACGTGAAAGAGTCTCGCTGCTGAAAGAAGAAGAAAGGGGGCTTTGAAAAGTAGCAAAAACTGTGTTTTGTGAAAGTACTAATAGAAGTCGTATGTGCGTCAGAGAAGTCACGAAGCAAGAAAAGTCAAACAGCGTAGCACATGTATGTACGTGTGAATAAGAAGTTATATATATTTGCAAACCGAACCTATTATTGGGTTCTTTGATTTACTTTTCAGTTCGCTGCTGTGCGGTTCCCAACGAAATTGGATTGAGGCTCATCGGAAAAAAAAAAACGGTGAGAGGACGAGAGGAAACCATCGAGACGATAAGAGCCTACATGACACATCCAGGTGCAAATATTGATTTGTTCCGCTAGCAGCGACTCGTGATCTAGAAGAGTTTAGCAAAGAGAGTACTCTAACATGGCGCTGTAATTGCGGTAGGCAAGAATAGCACGACGAAAAGGTCGAAGAAAGCTTTCCCCGACTTCCACTGAGGATGCTTTAAGTGGTGCGTTCCTTTTTGTGGCAAAAGGAAACGGAACTCAAAACCAAAGGGTGGCAATCCATCCTGGGGTTTTCTCTTCATTTTCTGACTGTTGGCCGGCTTGTTTGCTTGCCGTATTGCGCTACCATCTTCGAAAGGAAAAGGAAAAAAAACTCAGTGGCGAAAACGTGGAAAAGGGTGAGTCTAAGTTCTATGCATGTGCGAGTCTATGGGTTCATAGTATCTATGCGGGGCGTTGGAGCAAAAAAAAAAAAAACGGGGCACGTTTCAACGATGATGAACGCAGGCGCTGCGGCAGCGACGGAGGCGGTGGTTTGTCGCCGAGAGGAAAAAAACGAAAGCGTACTTCTCCTTCAACTCCTTGTGGGTACGATCCACTTCCTTGGCATCAGCACCCTTGTCCATAAAGGCTGTTGCTTGTTAGAAGGCCATCACCACCACCCGCACCACCACGTCTCACCTGCGCAACGCTGAGTGGCGCGTAATCGACTTGATGCACGCGTGTCGTCACGCCTCTCCTATCGCTCCTTCCCGTGTGCAGACCGACACGCTCGCTACCCTCCGCTTCAAAGATGCTGAAGTGCTGACGAGTTGCCTCGCAGTTCTGTGGAGCAGGACGCCGCAGTGGGACGTAGAGCGAGTCGAACGGCCCTTCGACGTCGACGAAGGCGGCTGGCCCGCTGAGGTGTGTTACCGTGGCGCGGGAACCGGATGAAGGTGCGGTGGATACGGAGGGCCGGGCGTACACTGGCACCTCCGTCTGGTCCGTCGCCCCTGGCCCACACAAGGAGCTTTGTGACGACCCCTGGGTGCAGCCGTGGGGCGCGTTCTTCGCCGACGCTCGAGAAGCTCGAATGGCATTTGCCCTCTCCTCCGTTCCCTTGCATTCAGCAGGAAGATTCGTGCGGTCGCGGAGATAAGAAGGAAAAGAAGCGCAGTTACCGCAGAAACTTGACGGGTGGCTGCTCTGGTAGGAAGGGGCTGCCGTGCACACGCCTCGCGCAGGCGTGTTCTCGGAAGGGTAGGTGCTGCGAGCAGCACGAGTCGGCGCAACAGACGCGCAGGAAGTTGCGCCAACGGCGGCGTTTGCCGATTTCGCGATGGAGGAGAGAGAAGAAGAAGCAGAAACGGACGTGCGGGTGGTGCGTTGACCACTCTGCTGTTCTCGCTGCTGCGCCTGCTGTCGTTCATGGCGGAGGGCCGCTGCGACACCGGCAGCTACGAGAGTTTCCGCCTCCGCTCGGTCAGAGCTCGTGCGGGTTAAACCGGGGGAGAAGCTGGGGGCCGTTGCTTGGTGGTAGCCTCGTCGCTTGCTGCCCTTGTTGGTGTGATCCATCTCGGGCGAGTTGTCCGCCGACACACCTCGTAAAGTCGAAGGTGTCGGTCTGGTACTCGCAGAGAAGAAAGAGGTCGTTGTGTTGAACGATTCCTCGGCGGGGGCGGCTCGCGGACCAAACCGCACCCACGTTGGATTCTCTTTCAGGCGGTAGACGTTGAACATCTCTCCTGCTGAAGCTTTTGTAGAGCTATTTACCGGCACTGGACTAGCTGGTGTTTAAATGGGTGGAGGCGGTAGAAGGAAAGAGGGAAAGAGGTCCAGGTGGGTGGCGAATAAGTAGGTGATACGAGAAGAAAAGAAAAACAGAAAAGACTTCCGTTGCCAGCTTCAATAGCTGTAGGTGAAGCTTGACAGCAGTGCCGTGATGGGTGCTCGCATCGCAACCTTTTGCGCGGTCGTTAGCCGGTATAAACTTCTCATTGGTTGGAGAACATTCAAAAAAAAAAAATGCTTAAAAGGACAATAGACCCGTCTTTTCAAACCCGCTTTGAAACGAAGAAGGAAGAAATAAAAGCACGCGCTTCTGCGCTGCAGCCTTCCCGTTGCCGCTTGCATGTTTCGCACCCGCCCTACAGAAAAGATAGGTGCTTGAGGCATTTTTGTTGTTGTAAATAAACCCATATAGAGGAGGCAACAGTATCTGGAAACGCTCACAGGTCTCAATTAATGATACGAGTCGGAATCAATAGCGGTCAGCGTCACGGCAACGCTGCAGTACAAGAAAAAAAAAAAGAAGAGAAAGCAAGTATATGTGATGTGAAACAGCGAAACCTTGTCTGCTGTCATAAATAAGCAAGAGTGACGTTCGTTTGTTTGGTAGTTTGCTTTTAAAGAGAACATCATTTTACGAAAGCAACAAAACTTGAACTGCGGCGGCGTGAACAGAACAGCAAATGAAGAGCCATAACGGCATTAGGAGATGGCACGCGCAGCCGAGCGGCGCGCAATCGGCCGAGCGTTGCTACCATCGCCGCCAGACCTCGGAGAGTCAGCAGAGGAGCTTCCACCTCCACCATTGTTGCTGCTGCGTCCCGCCGCGGCGGCCCCGGCGGATGCAGAGCCGTGCGACTGCTTCTTTTTGAGGGAGAAAGACATGGCACAGGCACACGACTGATCCACCAGTTCATTCCCAACGACCACGAAGGCAGACCCCTTCAGCTCGCTGTGGAAGTCTAAGGTGGCCTTGTCCAGCTTCGACACACTCAGCGTGTCCACGACGACTCGAGGGGAGGGCTGTGCACCAGTGAAGGCCTCCTCCCCCGTGGGCGACACGGCATCTGCCTCCGTAATCATCACATCCTCGTCCTTGACGAATTGTGACGCCGGTTCAAAAGAGAACTTGTACAGGTATCCGTGGCAGCCGCCGGAATCGATAGCCAGCCGCAGGTACCGGGCGTCGTTCGCGAAGCCTTCCTCTCTATTCTTCTTGTTGATTTGCTCCCACGTCCGCGGAGTCACAGTGAAGTTCTTGCCGTAGAAGTCTGGCAGTGGTCTTTTTACATCGGCGGCGGTGCCCAGTGTGTGGGTCGTGGACGACGTGGCAGTTGCAGCAGACGCCGTGGCAGACGCTGTGCACCACCGGCGAAGAGTGAGTCGAAACATACGTTGCCCACGATTAGAGTTGTGTTGTACGTTTTTCCTCTTTTCCTTTTTCCGATGGTCGGGAGCGTGAAAGCAGAAATGCAATAAGCAGAAGTAAATAGTCACGGTGTATTCGAATACTACGATAGTTTTTTTTTGGTTTTTGAGGTGACCACGGAAGATGAGCGGAAAAGGGTAGAAGTAGTGTGCAGGTATGGGTATCGGTGCACATTGGGTGAGCGCCACAGAAAGGGGAGGAGGGAGAGAGAGAGTGTGTGTGTGCGAGACAGAAAAAGGACACGGCATTCATTTCTCCGTCTGTCGGCGCGTGGGTTTTGGTATCGAAGGCTGTTGACATTCGAACACTTACACACACAAACACTCACACGTCTGTGAACCTGCCTCGGCGACCTGCCAAAGCGGCGATGAGAGACTGTTCGAGAACATATTTGAGACATGAAGGAAAAGAAAAAGGGAATCACGCAAGAGACACAATAACTGTCTCTCCCTTTCGAAAGGAATACGTCCTCAAAAAGGAGAGCAGTTTGTGGAAGGGGTAGACCCCCGATTCTCAGAAAAACTAAAAAGATTGCGTGATGAGAGAGAGGGAGAAGGTAAACCGGCGAATTGGATTATTTTCACGAGCAAATACTTCCGCGATACGTTCAACGCAGGCCAAAAAAACGATATCAACCTCCTTCTGTCTCTTGTTTTCCTTCGTTTTTTTTTTTGGGGGGGGAGGTGCAGTGCTAAATGTTTTTGTGTTTTTGCTGTTCCTGATGTTGTTATTACCGACACGAGCAAATAGAGGATGAAGCGCTTACTCGGTTTTGAGCTTAGGCTGCTGTTGCTGCTTCTGGTGCTCCGTGTACCTCTCCGACATCGGCTCCGCGACGATGGCGAGGAACATGAGAAAGCAGAAGAAACCCAGAACCATCACCACAATGTCAAAAACAAAGTCCTCGTAGTTCAGCACTTCGTATAGAAAAGAAAATCCAGGGTAGTGAGAGAGAAACTCTGCAAAGCGGCCCGCCAACGACAGCTTCTCCGCCTTGTAGACGTCCGCCAGCACATCGCGGGCGAACTGTTGAATGAGCTGCTGTTGCTCCCCGCCAATGCGCCACGGCGTGTCCAGCTTGATCTCCTCGAAGCGCGGGACGCGGGTGCGCATCTTGTAAAAGCGATCCCGCTTTGTGTCGATGATCACAATCGCAGGCAAGTCTTCCACCTCTACTGCGTAGTGCGTCCGCCACACCTCGTAGTTCACTGCATCAATGAAGGCCCACGACACCCGCGGGGCGTTGATCTCCGCGTCAACGGAGACGTCGCCGCCGTTCTGCTGCTCCAATACGATGTTCTCCACCTGCGTGATCTCGCGCAGCACAGGCACGAACTTCTCATCACTCGCGTCAATCGGGTCGGGGGACAGAATGACACCGAGGTAGTTCTTTGGCATGTGCGTCAGGGTGTCGAACATCGCCGCAGCGGCGTCCTCGACGGCGTGGAAGCCGTGTAGAGCGAGAAAGTACTCCAACTTGGTGCTCATGGCAAGCGCGTCGCTCGTTGGGCTGTCCTTCCGCTTCTCCACCCACACCCCCGTGAAGCACTTCGGTGTGCGGTAGCGGTCCGTGTAGACGACCAGCGCCTCGCCGTCCGGCCCGTTTGCCTTGCCAGCCGCCACGCACGCCTTGGCGACCGCGACGACGGCGCCGTACGCGCCGCTGGCGTGGTCGGCCCAGTCCTCCGCCTGCGTTGCTTCGTAGATGACGGAGAAGCGGATGTTGCCGACAGAGGCAGCACCGTCCACCGCTTGGCTCCACGGCGCAGCACGCTGATTCTCTGGCCGGCTAGGCGACGTGCGTGGCACGTAGATGTAGCACGGCACGCGAAGGCTGCCGCTCGCCGCCTCCACCTCGTTAAATCGAGTGACGTCCGTCACGTCTTCGGAAAAGCTGCCTGTGTCGAGTGCGCGCTGCAAATACGCGGAAAACTGCATGAACGCCTCCTGTGTGTTGGCGCCTTCGTACGTGTGCCACTGCCTCCCTTTGCCGGTGGTGTACACCAGGAGGGGGAACTTGTTCACCTGGAAGTACTCCAGCACCTTGCGGTTCTTCTGCACATCGCACACAGCAAAGGAGCTGTGCGGGATGCCGAGCAGGTCGAGTTGCGTGCTGGCGTTGATGAAGCCCGGCAGGAGGGTCTTGCAATGCGGGCACCACGGCGAGTAGAAGACCGCCAAGAACGCGCGGGTGGTGGTGGACTTCTTTGGGAACAGGTAGCCTTCGAAGGTAGTGTCGCTGAGCGTAATCATGGAGTCTGGCAGCGTGTAGACGGTGGACGAGCCGTCGGAGAACAGCTCCAACGTTTCCTTCGCATCGGCCGCCTCTTCGCTGCCACGCGCAGAGGAGCACGAGAGGACCGCCACGACGACGAAAAGCGCCGCCAGCACCCGCCGCGAAGCGAATTGAGTCATCGGCAATGGAGAGTAGATGTAGAAGCCCCCCAAAACAATAAAAGGAAGCGATATGTCGTACCTGAAATGCATCGGCGTCACGCAAGTGAGCGTATTTGAGAAACAGATTGGCGCAGATGAAAGATGAGACAGACGCGGAGGAAAAAAAAAAACATAAAATAAGTGGTGGGAGTTGGGCCAGAGCGAGTGATAGAGAGTCAAAAGGCGCCGCACGCCCGCTGCACGGTATCAACCATGATAGTTGCACAGCCCATTATTAATCGCTTGAACCAACCACCTTTCGACCTTTTTCTTTTTGATAGGGGAACCACTAGGTTTAGAGAGAAAAGCCACTATCAGGAAACATAAATTGAAGGGTGCAAACCCAGCATGAAGCAATGTAGCAATGGAGTAACTTCATCAAATTAAAACAAACCAAAACAAACGTATTATACAGTGCAAAGAAATAAAAAGTGGCGTCACGTGAGAAGATGTTGACGCGGTCAGTTCCAACGAAGTAAAGCAAAAAAAGGAGGTGCAGCAGAAAACTAATTGTACATGAAAAAACACACTTTTCCACACTGCTTGTGTGAGTGTTTCTATTATGAATATATATATATATATATATATATATATAGAGAGAGAGAGAGAGAGAGACGACC